TATGTTCACTCACACTGTTGTTGTGAGATTATTCTAAACTTTCCAAATTGATCAGTTAGTTCTTCGTACGCCCTCTCTTATGAATTAAGTTATTGATGTCTGTGCGTCCACAGATATTCGAGGGATCTGTAGGCCCCTAGACTCTAGATTTCAACAAAGAGAATAACAATGTCTTTCAACCAAGTTACTGTACACTTGTACTATTCAGGTACTGTGCAGTGTGTAGTTCTAACAGCTTTGACGTCAGATACACAACGCAGTGGGTGACTTTGATACATGACTTATTTTTAGAAAATTTTCAAGCAAAGTTTAATCCCGGGCGTCGACAAACCTTAAAGGGATTATGCGTCACAGCCCGTCTCTCCCAATTCTGACTTTCGGGGTTTACATTTAAAACTGACAGAGTTGTCCGTCCTCTTGGTGACAGGAATTATTACCTTATGCAATTGGGGCAAAAAAACATTTTGGTGAAAAATCCAGCAGGAAAAAAAGAATCACCCGCGAGTTACTTTTTAAATCTTTAAGCGCTGGTTCCGAATTTGATATTATTTTTACGATAGAACATAGAATTCAATAATGTCAACTAATTTTTGCATCGTTGGTGGGCCCCATCGATACCATGATCAACGCCATCAAGATGAAGTATTCGCTCAGCACAGTCGTTGTACTCAGGACGATTTTTTCTGTTTTAAAAATAGTGTCGCTGTTCTCCGGTGCTCCGCTCCATCTCTCTCCACCTCTCTCTCTCTCTCTCTCTCTCTCTCTTTATATCTCCCCCTCTCTCTCTCTTTCTCTCTCTCTCTCTCTCTCTCTCTCTCTCTCTCTCTCTTTCGCTCCAAGAGGCTGGAAGTATTTTTGTTAATGGTCTGCATTTCTTTTGCACCGGCTGGTGTTTCTTGCTGGGAAAGAAAGCCATTCGAACTCGACTTTAGAAAGTGATCATTGTGTGAACCAGTGGGGTTTCCGATTTGCATGATGACTGGCTAATGATGGCCCTTTCTGTTTGCGTTAACAATCAGCTTCGAAAACAAATTGTTTTTGAGTTGTTTGTTGACGTGAACAGGCGGGGGCCTGCCATTACAGATCTATCTTAAAACGGAAACAACTGCCCCTCTTTCCCTACCCAAACCCCAACCAAATAAACAACATATATAACAATTATGCACGCAGTCTTGGAGATATGAGAAAGTCGCAAAAATCAACGCAGTTGCCATTGTTTCTATGAATGCGTGAACAACATAAAAAGCAAAAATTACTCGTTAAAACAACACGTGTGTGGCTCGACAGAAGGGAAGTTTCATGCATGCCTGGCATTTGGCGTGCTGGCCGAAATATTTGACTTCGGGAAGTCCGATGGGAGGATAATTTATAGTTTGAGAGTGTGAGCGTCAAAATGATTATTTTAAGGGCTATTATTGCTCGGTTGACGACAAATAACATCAATGGCATCACCACTGATATGATCTGGTCAGAGACAAAAGACCAAACAAACAAAAAACAAAAACACACGAACAATAACAAAAAAGCGGAGACAGTCGTAGCTCTAAATATCTGGGAACTATAATATCGGATGAAGAATCCAAGCTCGAAATACTCTCCTGAATAGCATTGACTGATGAGTTCTCTGGTCAAATAGTATTTTTTTTAAATGCATGTAATATGTATGTGAAACGCGGACCACAACGGGAGACATCGAGGATGCAAACACTGGAAATGTGATTTTACTGCAAACTCCCCAGTATCTGGTATAGAGATTACGTAAACTATGAGGTACATGTAGTTAGAATCAGAATTATTGGAAAGGCCTTCGGGTAGCATTAACATCCCATGACTTCAGTGAAAACACGCAAACAGTAGTGGCGCAGGCACATCACACAAACCTCTGGACTGGCTAAGACTGATCTAATATATGGGACAGCACAAGGAAGGAGACCAAGAGGCAGACAGGGGAAAAGATAGTAATACAACACCAAAGAGTGAACTGGCCGTGTCTAGAGCATCTAACTACGGAAAGCAGAGAACCGACATGAGTGTGAGAATCAAAGGAACTGGTTAAAAAAATGTCGGTGGTTCCACAACTGTCAGCCAGGCAACTGTATGGGTGAAGGAGAAAGTAATAGTAATTGTTCAGATTTGGACTTCAAGTTTTAAAATGCTCGTGCGTGTTGTGCCGTAATTGTCTGTGTATATGTGTGTGTGCGCGTGTGTGAGAGTATGTGTGTGTGTGTGTGTGTGTGTGTGTGTGTGTGTGAGCGTGTGCATGGGTGTGTGTGCATGTGTGTGTGTGTGTGTGTGTGTGTGTGTGTGTGTGTGTGTGTGTGTGTGTAGAGAGGGGTGGAACTTCTTTTGTTAATAACATTCAACATTGCACCATGTGATTGTTATT